TTATTTTGATATATCACAGTGAAAGATTTATCGTCCTCTTTTTTTTTTTTTTTTTTTTTTTTTTTTTAAAAAAAAAAAAAAAAAAAAAAAAAGATGGAGAGTAATAGTGTAGGACTCCTGACTTGGACCTCTGGCCTTCACATGCAAATGGATAGGCAAGTACCCCCCGCCCACCACCACATACCACACCCCTCACACTCCCCCTCCGCCCCTAGCACACCCCCACTGGAATTCCACATCCCTTAGTTGTCACCCACCAAACCTTCCTAGATCCTGGCAATGATGAGTGCTTTCTGCCTGTATGGATTTTTCTCTTCTGGACATTGCTATAAATGAATTGTAGACTCTGTGACTGTTTGTCTGTGCCCTATTCCTAAGGCTGTTTCCAAGGTTTATCCATTTTGTAACATTTATCAGTACTTCATTCCTTTTTAGTTTTGTTTTGAGAGACCAAGTTTTGTTACATAGCCCAAGCTGTCTTTGAATTCTCTATATCGTCCAAGGTGGCTTTGAATTCAAGATCTTCCTGCCTCTGTGTCCCAGGTGCTGGGATTAGAGGCATGTACCACCTTACTCTGTTTACTTCATGCCTTTTTATGGCTGGTTAATATTCCATTGCATTATCTTGTTTATCCATTTATCAAGTGATGGATGCTTAAGTTGTTTGCACCTTTGACTTTATGTCAAATGTTAATGATATTCCAATTTTCAACACAAAGCACATCTCTCACATCAAAGGGAATTCTAAGAGTTTATTCTTGAGCCAAATGTGAGTGACCATGGCCTAGAAACATGGATTCAGGCTGCCCTCAAAGACAGGTTCCACTATGGAAATGTTTGCATGATTTTATTAGTTACAGAGCAAAGAAAGTCATAAATTGAGGCATTTACCAAATACATTGATGGAAACCACAGGTAAACAGGTTATAGCAAGGTAGGGAAAACGCTGTTGTGGATTTCAGATGCTATCTGATGACATTCTTAGCTTTTGCATTGGAGGAAGCTAGTGATCTGCCAAGGCTACATTTTAAAAGTTTTGATAATCACCTTTCTGCCAGAGTAGCCATCTTCCAGTGACTCACCAAAATGACAAACACAAAGGGAAAGAAGAGAGGCACCTGCTATATGTTCTTTGGCCTTTTAGAGAACATGGACTAAAGCCAGACATGGTGGCACACGCCTTTAATCCCAGCATTTGGGAGGCAGAGGCACGTGGATCTCTGTGAGTTCGAGGCCAGCCTGGTCTACATAGTGAGTTCCAGGACAGCTGGGGCTACAAGGAATTGTTCCTTTGGCCACATATATGTGAATCTGCAAGAAGGGTGATATTGTAGACATTAAGGCAGTGGGTACTGTTCACAAAGGAATGCCCCATAAATGTTACCATGGCAAAACTGGGAGAGTCTACAGTGTCACTCAGCATGCTGTTGGCATTATTGTAAGCAAGTTAAGGGCAAGATTCTCTCTAAGAGAATTAATGTGTGTATTGAGCATATTAAGCACTCTAAGAGCTGGGACAGCTTCCTAAAATTCGTGAAGGAAAATGACTAGAAAAAAAAGGAAGCCAAAGAGAAAGGAACCTGGGTTCTGTTGAAGCACCAGCCTACCCCACCTAGAGAAGTACACTTTGTGAGAACTAACTTAAAGGAGCTTGAGCTGCTGGAGCCCAAGCTGTTAGAGCCCATTCCCCATGAGTTCATGGCTTAATGTACAAGAAAAATAAAAGACCTGGATTTAAAAAAAAAAGTTTTAATAATCATAAAGTTGCTAGGTCAAACAAGGTGGGTGAGCAATGAGTGACCTTCAAATGGACTGAAAATAGCCCAAGATAATTTGACTCTGGATCTGTAACATTCTCACTTTCCACATTTAGCTTTGTAGAATTTTCAACCTCAGTTTATACAATGAGTGTTTGTAAGTGAAGTGGTTTTTTTGTTTTTATTTTTCCCTTTCCCCTTTTTTTAGTGCTGGAGATTAAATGCTAATCCAAGGTTTTAGGCATTCAAGCTTGGCAGGCATACACTCTACCACTGACAGAGCTGTGGTCCCAGCTCTATGTGCAGGACTTTATGTGCATACATAAAGTGTGTGTGTGTGTGTGTGTGTGTGTGTGTGTGTGTATGTAGTTGTTGTTTGTTTTGTTCTTGTTTTTTGAGACAGGGTCTTACAATGTAGCCCTAACTGTCCTGGGACTCACTATGTAGACCAGGCTAGTCTCAGTCTTTCAGAGATCCCCCTACTTTGGCCTCATAAGCACTGGGATTAAAGGCATGTGCTACACCATACCTACCTGGGCACATATATTTTAATTTTCCTGGATATATAACAGAGAGTGTATAAACTTGTATATTACCTTTTCTCTTTATGCATTAACAACTTTAATTCTTTTATATGTTACCTTACGAGCAAAATTTTGATAGAAAATACCTGTTTTGTTCTACATATTGTCCCTGTCTTTAATGCTTTTTCTTCCTTGTACTGGGGGTGGAATCCAGGTTCTCTTTAGAGAGGCTAACACTTTATTACTGAGCCACACCATCAGCATGTTGATGCTTTGTTTTAGTTATCTTTGTCTCTTCCTAACCTTTAGTAAACTCTATGATATTAGAGATTATTATGTCTTGTTAATTAAAAAAATTGTTTTGAAATTGGGTCTTGCTGTAGTGCCCAGAGTGATTGTTATAATTTTATTTCTGTTACTGTGATAAAAGACTGACCAAAAGCAACTTAAGGGAGGAAGAGATTTATTTTGGCTTACAGGTTATAGTCCATCACTGAAGGAAGTCAGTACAGAAATTCAAGTAGGAACTTGAAGCAGAAATCATAGAGGAATGCTGCTTGCTGGTTCACTTACAAGAATAGCCCAGTAAGCTTTGCCCATAGCATTCAATGACTTTTCAGCGGAAAGGTCCAAACATTTCCAGGTTCCTCTCACAAAAACAATCCAAAGCACATGGTCAGGTCTATCATAGTAACACTCCATTCCTGGTTCCAATTTCTGTTCTGGTTTCCTTCCTGTTGCCGTGATAAAACACTCTGGCAAAAAGCAACTTAGGGGAGGAAAGAAGTTTATTTCAGTTTACAGGCTATAGTCTGTCATGAGAGAAGTCAGGGTAGGAACTCAAGCAGGAAGTTGAAGCAGAAATCATGGAGGAACTCTGCTTGCTTGCTCACTTGCAGACCTGTGCTTAGGCAACTATCTTATACAGTCCAGGACCACCTGCATAGGGAATGGTTCTGCCCACAATGGGCTGAGCCCTCTTACATCAGTTAAGAAGACGGTCTTCCACAGACATCCCCATAGGCCAGTCTGACCTGGGCTCCCTCAATTGAGACTCTTCTCAGGGGACTCTAGACAGTGTCAAGTTGACAGTTAAAGGTAACTAGAACAATAGTCTTAGCTCATAGTCTCAAGCAGTCCTCCCACTTGAGCCTTCCAAGTACATAAAGACAACAGGTATATGGCATTATGCCCAACTTTAATCTTAGATTTGGGGCATCCTATTGCCCACCTGTTAGATATTCTAGAAATAATTGTTGAATGAATATTTACACGTGAGAAGCATTTTTTTGTTATTAAGATCCATAATTTATTATCTAATATTGAGACATCTTTTTTACTTAAAATGATTTATCTTTGTGTTTACTTTATAGAATGATTTGAGAGAACGATTCAGTGCAGCCAGCAGTGCCTCCAGACTTTTGCAGGAACAAATCAAGGAAATGAGAATGAGCAATAAAGAAAAAGATAATACTATCATTCGACTAAAATCTCAACTGCAAGATTTGGAAGAAGCATTTGAAAATGCATACAAACTCTCAGATGATAAAGAAGCTAGACTGAAACAAGAAAATAAAATGTTTCAAGATGTAAGTAACAAAAACCAAGATCTTAAGTAAATGGTGGTATCCTACTTACTTTCTGTTGCTGTGGTAAAATACCCTGACAAAAGCTTAAATTTAAGGGGCTAGAGAGATGACCTAGCAGTTAAGAGCACTGGCTGCTCTTGCAGAAGACCTGACTTTGGTTCTCAGCACCCACATGGCAGCTAACAACCACCCATAACTCCACTTCTGGGGGAATCCAGTGCTGTCATCTGGCCTCTATAGGCCTCAGGCATGCATATGGTGCACATATATACAAGCAGACACACACACACATAAAATAAACCTTTTTTGTTGTTGTTGTTGTTGTCTTTTTGAGACGGGGTCTCCAGCTGTCCTGGAACTCACTATGTAGACCAGGCTGGCCTTGAACTCACAGAGAGGACTTAAGGCTGCTGGGACTAAAGGTGTGCACCACCACGCCCAGCTAAAAATAAGTCTTTTTAAAAACAGTAACAAGGGAGAAAGGGTTTACTTTGGTTTACAGTTCCAAAGGGATAGTGTCCATCATGGTGGAGAAGATGTGGCAGCAGGCAGGGAAGGCATGGTGGCTGGAGCAGGAGGCTGACTGGTCACATTGCATCCACACAGAGAATGTACAGGAAGCACAGCCAGGCTATAAAACCTCAAGGCCTGCCCCTAGTGATTCATTTCTTGCAGTATTTCACATTCAAACTATAGCTGGTCAAAAGTAACTTATTTAGCTATTGTACTCTTTGAAGCTGCAATGACTTTTGTTTTGTTTTTTGTTTTATGTTTTTTGAGAGACAGGGTCTTAAGTAGCCTCAGCTGATTGGAACTCACTTGCCTCTGCCTCCTGAGTGCTGGAATTAAAGGCGTGTGCTGCCGTGCCTGACTGCATTGACTTTTTCTAGGTACATTTTGGTCTGAGGTAATTGCTGTGGCTCCAGGAACCCTCCTGGTGGAAGCAATCACTCTCAACTTACAACAGAAAGTCAAGAGCTTTAGAAGGATGATTGTACTCCCACACTTTGCTGTCGCTAGCAGGTCACTTTTTTTTGTTTTGATAATTTCATTTTTAGATTGTTTTTACTACTGGTATCCATTTAACAGTTTACACAATTGTTAAAAATTTTCATCAAAGATTAAAAGTGAATTTTCATAAAGTTGACTAAATCAATTGCATTATTTAATTTACTCTGTTTATGAATGTGTTCTTGTTTTCCCATGCAATTTTGTGTCATTTTTGCATTGTTTTATCTTTTTTTTTTAAAATATTTTATTTATTATTTTTATTTTATGTGTATGCGTATATTGTCTGCATGTAGGTAAGTGCACCTATGCCATGCAGTGCTCACAGAAGACAGAAGAGGCTGTCACATCCCCTGGAACTGGAGTTACAGACAGTTGTTAGCTGCCATGTGGGTGCTGGGATTCGAACCCGGGTCTTCTGCAAGAACAGTCAGTGTTCTTAACCTCTGAGCCATCTCTCCAGCCCCAGTTTTATCTTTTTAAATTAAAATTTATTTTGTATACATGTAGGGGGCGGGCACCTATGGTCCATGACATACATGTGGAGGTCAGTAGACAACTTGAGAGAGTCATTTCTCTACTTCTACCTTGTGAATCCCAGGGATCTCAAACTCAGCTTGTTAGGCTTGACAACTTTTACACACTGATCCATTTTCCTGGTCCCCAGGCTCAACAGGTCAACTTTATTTTTAGACAAGATCTTGCAGCCCTAGCTAGTTTGGAACTTGACCAGACTGGCCTTATCTCACAGAGATTTGCCTGCTGTCGCTGCCTCCTATGTACTGGGATTATAGGTGTGCACCACCACGCTTAGTTGCATGTCAGTTTTTGAGCTTTCATAATGTCTATGTTTTTCAGGGCAAAATGCTATAAGCCAGATTTAAAGCAGGTCTTTTTGGAGAAAGGGTCTTGCTGTGTAGCTCTTGACCTCATGATCCTTGTCTTAGTTTGCTTTCTATTATTGTGATAAATACCATGACCATAGGCATCTTGGGGCAGAAATGGTTATTTGGCTTACATGTCCCAGTCACATCATCAAGGTAAGCCAGGCCAGGAACTCAAGGCAGGAACTGAAGCAGAAGCCATGGAGGAACACTGCTTACTGCCTTATTTCCCCTGGTCTGCTCAGCTATCTTTCTTATATAAGCTAGGCCCTCCTGTCCACAGGCTGGGCCCTCCTACATCAATTAGCAATCAAGAAAATGACTCAGACATGGCCACAGGCCTATTTGATGGAGGAAATTCCTCAGTTGAGGTTCCCTTTTCCCAGTTATCTCTAGTTTGTGTCAAATTGGCAAAAGCTAACCAGCAAAATACTTCTGCCTCAGTCTCTTGAGTGCTGAGGTTATAGATGTTACTCATGTCTGGCTTTTTTTTTTTTTTTTCCTCTCCCTGGTGATGGGGGAGGAATCTAGGACCTTGTATATACTATGGAAGCACTCTGCCAACTGAGTTGTATACTCAACTTTTTTTTTTTTTTGACAATTTGAGCAGAAGTTTAGCAAGAATATGGAACGCTTCACAAATTTGTCATCCTTGTGCAGGGGCCATGCTAATCATCTCTGTATCGTTCCAATTTTAGTATATATGCTGTCGAAGTGAGCATTATCCTCAACTTTTTTAGAGCCAGTTTGAATATATTTTTTTAACTTTAGTGTGTGTATACCCATGCATGAATATGATATACACATGTACCACCACATGCTTATGGAGTTTAAAGGACAACTTGTAGGAAGTTGGTTCTTTTCTTCCACTGTGGGTTCTAAGGATTGAACTCAGGTCATCAGGTTTGCACAGCAAGTTCTTCTACACTCTGAGCCATTTTGCCCACCCAGGTTTGAATTTTCTGTATTGACTTAATTTCACTTAAAATTAGGATTCATACACTGATACATTTTTAAAAATATTTATTCATTCATTGTGTGTGTGTGTGTGTGTGTTGCCATGGCTCATGTGTAGAGGTCAGAGGACAACTTTTTTGGGGTTGGTTCCCTCCTGCTACCACGTGGGTCCTTCGAATTGAGTTCAGGTTGTCAGGCTTGGCAACAAGTGACCTTTCTTGCTGAGCCATCTTGCTGGTTCCCTAAGGCAGGTAGGTTGTCCTGTTCTTTTCTTTTCTTTGGTTTTCTTTTCTCTTCTTTTCTTTCTTTCTTTCTTTCTTTCTTTCTTTCTTTCTTTCTCTCTCTCTCTCTTTCTTTCTTTCAGCTTATTTTTATTTTATGTGTATGAGTATTTTCCCTGTATACATATAAGTGCACCCCTGTTGTGCAGTACCCACAGAGATCAGAAGAGGGCATCGAATCCCCTGGACCTGGAGTTAGAGACAGAATTATTTAAGTAATTACTTAAGTAATTCTGGGTGCTTTAGCTAGCTGCCGTAATCGGTTTGGTCACTGTCTCTGACCTCTGCCTTCTAGCAATGCTGTTGTATAGGATGGTGTTGCTATGGTTACTTGGTATTTGCCACCTGTTTTTACTCTCCTTCTGGAGACTTTGAGCATCTTACATAATCTGAAATGATGCAGTTTGGTGCTTTCTTCATTATTTTGCAGGGTACCCAAGAGACTATTCACTGGGGGAATTTGCTAGTTTTTTTTTTTTTTTTTCTTATTCTTTGGAATTCCTATTAGATGTTGGATTTCAGACTGAACCTTTAATTTTAAAACATTTTTCTATTATTTTAGCTTGGCATTTTGCTCTGTTTTTTTTTTTCTTTTTCTTTTCATTTCTCTTCCTTTCTTTCTCTTTGAGACATTATATACCTCTGGCTGGCCTAGAAGTCCCTATGTAGGCTGACCTTGAACTTACAGAGATCTGCCTGCCTCTGCCTTCTGAGTGCTATAATTAAAGGCCTGTGACACTGCTGCTTTGCTTTTTAAAAAAATTTATTATTTTTATTTTATATGTATGGATGTTATGCTTGCATGTATGTAAGTGCACCTGTGTCATGCAGTGCTCACAGAGGCCAGAAGAGGGCGTTGGATCCTCTGGAACTGGAGTTACGGATGGTTTTTAGTTGCCATGTGGGTGCTGGGAATTGAACTCAGGTCCTCTTCAAGAGCAGCCAGTGTTCTTAACTTCTGAGCCATCTGTCCAGCCCCTTCTTTCCTTTTCCTTTTTATTTTTGTTTTTTTACTTTTTGGATTTTTTTTTGAGACAAGGTCTCCCTGTAGCCCCAACTGGCCTGAATCTTGCTATGTAGACCAGGCTGGCCTTGAACTCACAGAGATCCACCTGTCTCTGCCTCTGCCTCCCGAGTGCTGGGATTAAAGGCGTGTGCCACCATACCCAGCTTGCTTTGCTTTTTTTAAAAATATTTTATTTATTATTTTTAATTTAGGTGTATGTGTGTATTGCCTGCATGTAAGTGCACCTGTGTTGTACAATGCCTGTGGAAGACAGAAGAGGACGTCAGATCCTCTATAACTGGAGTTATGGACAGTTGTTAGCTGTCATGTGGGTGCTGGGATTTGAACCAGGGTCTTCTGCAAGAACAGTCAGTGTTCTTAACCACTGAGCCATTTCTCCAGTCCCTTGCTTTGCTTTTTAAGAGGCTTGTGTTGTGTTTTTTTTGTTTTGTTTGTTTTGTTTATTTGACGCAGGGTCTCCCTGTAACCCCAACTGGCTCGGAACTCGTTATGTAGACCAGGCTGGCCTGGAACTCACAAAGATTTGCCTACCTCTCTACTTTGCTTTTTAAAAGAGCTTTCTTCAACTTTCTTTTTTAATTTTTTGTTTAAAGTTTTATTTTTTATTTTTCCCGCTTATTTTTTACTGTGTTTTGAATATATTTTTGTTTCATAGATATATCTTTTATCTCATTAGAGATGCCATCTTTTTTTTTTTGGCACCAAAATAACTATTTTCATCCTTTGTTTGTGGGATTGTAGGATTTTTTTATTTTCTTATTTCTACTTCTTTAAATGGTTCACATTTCTGAAAGTAAATATTTATAATCTTTTAATCAGAAAAGTTTAGTTGTTTTTTTTAAAAAACCCTCTGAAGGCTGTGGCTCTGCTGACATCCTTGGTCCCTATTCTAATAATTTCACATAGCCATCATTTTAATTTTAATTTTTTTATTTTTAATTTTTGGTCTTTTTTTTGAGACATGTTCTCCTGTAACCCCAGCTGGCCTGGAACTCACTATGTAGACCAGGCTGGCCTTGAACTCAACAGAGATCCACCTGCATCTGCCTCCCAAGTGCTGGGATTAAAGGGGTGAGCCACCACACCCGGCTTCATTTTTAAAATTTACTTTTATTTCCAGCACTGCCCTCTATTTCTTCCATTTCCTTCTTACTTTTTATTATTTTAATGTTAGAGCTTTGTTTTTGGTCTTTTCGAGACAGGGTTTCCCTGTAACCCCAGCTGGCCTGGAATTCACTATGTAGACCAGGCTGGCCTCGAACAGAGATCTACCTACCTCCCCAGTGCTGGGACTAAACTCATGCCACCACGCCCAGCTCTTAGACCTTTTTTTATATGGCAGGGCTCATTATCAAGACTGATCTGTTGAAAACTAATTAGAAGGTAGCTTTGCTGGGAACTAAGAGCAGCATGCTCTTGTTCTCTTAATCCCTAAGCCATCTCTCAGAACCACCAGCTTCAGGGGATCGATGGTCTCTTTTGGCCTTGGTGGACACCTGCATGGTGTGGCATGCAAACAGACAGACACATGGGTACACATAAATTTTTAAAAAAAGAGAGAGTTGCTTTGTAGCCTTTGGAGGCTGACTGAATGGTGGACAGCTTTGTAGGGCATGGATGTTTCATTGTGGGGATGAGGGTTGCAGTACGATCTTGATTTCTGTACATCTTTTGTCTTGGGCAAGTCGGTCTTAATGACTTACCTGGCAGTTACCTGTCTGGAAGTTACCTGGCTAGGCTTGGACCCTGGTGCCCAGGATCCAAGAGTGGGGAGGGGAAAATAGGAAGCTCCAGACAGGAACTTTACCCTAAGCCCTCTATTTTCCACATGATATATTTTATCCTTGCTTCCAGTCAAGCCTAGTATCCCTAAATCTGAACTGGTTTAGCCAGTCACCTAGCTGCATGGGATGTGGCAGGGCCTAGAACTCCCCTGCCCTTTTAGACTTGTTTCTGTTATTTTAAAAAATATTTTATTATTTTTAAAATTTTATGTGTATGACTGTATTGCCTGCATGTTGGTAATTGAACCTGTGCCACGCAGTGTCTGAGGGGGTCAGCAGAGGGTGTCAGATGCCCTGGAACTGGAGTTAAGGATGGTTGTTAGCTGCCATGTGGGTGCAAGGAACTGAACCCAGGTCCTCTGCAAGAGTAGCCTGCTGGGCCATCTCTCCAGCCTCATGTTTCTGTTTTTTTTTGTTTTTTTGGGTTTTTTTTTTTTTTTAAGCATTTCCATACTTTCTGTCATAGCAATGTATTCCATCCTCATCTTGAGCTTTTACAAGGCCTCAAATTTGCTGTCTTCCTGACTCATACTCCTGAATGCTGGGATTACAGGGCTACACCACTATTTCCATGCATATGTATTTTAAAATAAGATAATGTTAGACTTTTGACATTGTACTTTAGAGAAGAAATGTAGGGGAATATAATATTCTAACAATTTTTTAAAAATAGTAAAATTAATTTTATCTTTTTTGGGGGGGGTCTTTTTGAGACAGGGTCCCCCTGTAGCCCCAGCTGCCCTGGAACTTGGAACTCACTCTGTAGACCAGGCTGGCCTTGAAATCACAGGGATCCACCTCCCTCTGCCTCTGGAGTGCTGGGATTAAAGGCGTGTGCCACCACACCTGGCCTTAATTTTAGCTTTACATTCAGGGCATATATTGATATTATTTTATTTGGCTTTTGAAATAACTTCAGACTTAAAAAGCTTCCAAAAATATTTCTTTTTCAAAAATCACCCATTCTGTATTGCCCTTTCTTTAATGACATTGGTATTTTTCAAGAATCCTGTTGTTCTAGCAACTGTCCCTTCATTGGTGTTACACTGTCTAATTTTGTGATACAGTTGTTTGTTTTTCTTTGTAGCTCTTAGGAGAGTATGAATCCCTTGGAAAAGAGCATGGACGAGTAAAGGTAAAGGTGATGGCTTCTGTTCTGGTTTCATGTAAGGACAAAAGGACTGGCCTGGGAGTTAAAAGGTGTGGGCCTTCCTCTTTCTTCCCCTTCCTCCATCCTATAGCTATTTAAACTAGACTATGCATCTATCCGTTCTGTCTTGATATCTTTATTTTCAAATATTTACCCTACTTAACTCATAGATTTGTTAGATTCTTTAAATTTAACCAATATTATTGAATGGCTATTGCATTTAATATGAGTTGAGATGAAATTGTATAGAAGAATTGTGTACTGTATAGATTCAAATAATTAATGCTTTGTGAGTATAAAGTTTTAATTTTCAAAGCATTAGTTTCTTTGTAGAGTTGTAAGAATTTATCCATTGTGTCTGAGTTACTAACTAAACCTCTGCTTAGAGACTATAGTGAAATCCCACAGCAGAGGGTCTAACAATTCTGTTGTATTAAGTGGAAGATTATGGATTTTTACAGGTAGTGAAAAGTCCTGTGTAGCTGTAGCTGAGACTCTGTGGGTTCATGAATAAATCACAATGTCTGAAATGTCATTGAAGGTCTTTGTTGTACCATTCTACCAAGCTTTCAGTCAAGTTTGTGGCTAAAATCTATCTATCCTATGTGGGATTGCTTCTAGTTAAGCAAACACTAGGCCGTATCTATTACACAGAGTTACTGGTATAGGCTTGTGCCTATGCTGTCTTTGCTCTCCCTTGAATTCCTGTATAGATTCTAAGGTTGATGCCACACTTGCTGAGTGTTGGTATAATTTACAGCTAGCTGATTTACCTCACATTATTTTTGTATTTTGCATTTTAAAGTAAAAGATACATCTAAATGCTTATTTTCAGTTATGTAAATTTTCCTCCCCTCCCCATAGGATACACTGAATACAGCTGAGAACAAATTGCTTGATGCACACACTCAGATTTCTGAGTTGAAAAGGTAAAATGTCTTATTAATAAGGCATGCCTCTAATTATTCTTTTGTGTTTGGTATTGAGAGTGAGGAAAAGAAATCCTTTCTTGAAGACTTTCAGGAAGTTTAAGAGCTAGTCTTACCCCAATCTTCTGACATGGAAATACATTAGATTTTAGCCAAGGAAATTTTTTTTTACATTTCAAAAAAAAGACTTATATTTTTATTTTATGTGTATGAGTGTTTTACCTGCACATTATGTAAGTGTACCTGTGTCATGTAATGTCTGAAGAGGTCAGAAAAGGGCATTGGATCCCCTGGAATTGGAGTCATGGATGGTTCTTAACCACCATGCTGGCCTCATCTCACAGAGCTCCACCTGCCACTGTCTCTGCCTCCTGCATGCTAGGATTAAAGGCAAGTGCTACCATGCCTAGCCACTGAATTGTTTTTGTGCTTCAGAAGAAAATGGAATTCTTACCAAGTTTGTGATTACCTACTTCCTTTTTTTTTGTATTTTTATTTTACTTTACACATATGAGTGTTTTGCCTGCATATATATATGTGTACCATGTGCATGCAGTGTCTGAAGAGGCCAGAGGAAGGCATCAGATCCTCTGGAACTGGAGTTAAGTATGGTTGTTAGCCACTATGTTTGGTGCTGTGAACCAAACCCCAATTATCTGCAAGAGCAACCAGTGCTCTTAACTGGTAAGCCATCTCTCCAGCCCCACCCATTTTCTTAAAGACTTGGTTTGGAGACTGTATTAATGATCTGATTTGCTTACCTAGATAGCATTAGTCATAAATGGGTTCATATTACAATTAGAAATATCTAAATTTGGGGCTAGAGAGAAGGCTCTCTGCAGTTAGGAGCACTGGCTGCTTTTATAGAGGACCTGGGTTTGGTTCCTACCACCATGCTGGGCAGCTCACAGCTGCTTATAACTTCAGCTCCAGAGAATCTGACTTCTTTTTCTGGTCTCTGAGGGCACTTATACTAACATGCACATATCCACACACAGACACACATGTGCATGTAATTAAAAATAAAATCTTATGTGCTCACTTCGGCAGCACATATACTAAACTTGGAACAATACAGAGAAGATTAGCATGGCCCCTGGGCAAATTTGTGAAGACTTCCATATTTTTCTATTACTTATTCCTTGGGAATAAAATTCTAATAAATAGCCGGGCATGGTGGCGCACGCCTTTAATCCCAGCACTCAGGAGGCAGAGGCAGGCGGATATCTGTGAGTTCAAGGCCAGCCTGGTCTACATAGTGAGTTCCAGGACAGCTGGGGCTATAGGGAGACCCTGTCTCAAAAAGACCAAAAAAAAAAAAGTTCTAATAAATATAATATTTCACTTTTGAAAAAATAAATCTTTGGGGCTAGAGAGATGGCTCAGCGGTTAAGAGCACAGACTGCTCTTGCAGAGGACACGGGTTCGATTCCCAGCACCCACATGGCGGCTACGAACCGTCCTTAACTCCAGTTCCAGGGGAATCCGAAGCCCTCTTCTGAGGCATTGCACAACACGGGTGCACTCACATATATGCAGGCAATACACTCATATACATAAAATAAAAATAATAAATAAAAAAAATCTTTAAAAAAGGAAGTATTTAAATTGGCCTTCAAGTGTATATTTTATATTTGTATTTGGATGAAATATTTAGAAATTTACTGCAGTCTGAGGGATTTATACAGAGAATAGAAGAGTGCCTTAATTTCTCATCTGCCAGATTCATTCATTCTTTATCACATTGGAGGATGCACCAGCCTTGTTAAAGCTGTTCTTCCTCAAACCTGGTGGCAATTGCTTTCATCCTCTGAGCCATCTTGATGTCCCCTATACACAGAGTTTAAAAGAAAAGAAATAGGGGTAGATGAGATGGCTCAGCAAGTAGAGGCACTTGTGTACAAGCCTGATGACTTGGTTTGATCCCCAGATTCCACAAGGTAGCAGGAGAGAACCAATACCTAGAGTTATTCTCTGGCTTCCACATACCCATAGTGGCATGCACGTGCTTGGGGACACACACACACATACACACACACACACACACACACACAAATTGTCCTTAAAAAAGAGAGGAGGCCAGGCTAGGTTGGAAACCATTGGCCAGAGTACTTATTGGTTGCTGAGAAACTTTAAGAGGCTTTTGTTCCGAACATGACAAAAATGAGATGGACTGCTGATTGTCTCTAGGCTGAGAGTTCTTTGGGATAGTTTTGCTTTTACCTCCTTTAAAAATTAGGAAGGCAGCCAGGTGTGGTGGCACAATCGTTTAATCCTATCACTTGGGAGTCAGAGGTAGGTGGATCTCTGTGAGACGGAGGCCAGCCTGGTGTATATAGTAAGTCCCAGGCCAGCTGGGGCTACAGGGAGACCCTGTTACAAAAAACAAAAAACAAAACAAAATGCCTGTGATGGGGGAATGGAGGGAAGACTCAGAAGTTAAGAAAGCTTGCTGTTCTTCCAGAGGACCTGAGTTCGATTGCCAGTACCTACATGGTGGTTAACAACCATCCATAACTCCAGTTCCAGGGGATCCGACACCCTCTTCTGGCCTCTTCAGGGCATTGCATGCATGTGGTATACTTATATACATGCAAGCAAAACATAAAAATAATAAAATATGCACATAAAAATCATAAAATACATTATTTTTTTTTTTAATTAGGAAGGCTTTGCTTTTTGTTGTTTGTTTTTGGAGACAGGGTCTCTCAATATGTGGCCCTCCCTGGCAGACCTAAAACTATGTAGACCAAGTTGTCTTCAATCTCAAAGAGATTCACCTGTGTCTTCTTCCCAAGTTCTGGTTTAAACTAAAGACCTGCACTACCATGCCCAGCAGGTAGTTATTTTAATAGCTCTGTTTTTGAAAGTTAAGTTTGCTGCTTCTTTTGTGAAACTTTTACCTATTTTTTTTTATTTTAAAAAATATTTTATTTATTTTATGTGTATGTTTATATTGCCTGCATGTAGGTAAGTGCACCCATGTTGTGCAATGCACGCGGAAGACAGAAGAGGCTGTCGGATCCCCTGGAACTGGAGTTACGGACAGTTGTTAGCTGCCATGTGGGTACTGGGATTCAAACCTGGGTCCTCTGCAAGAACAGCCAGTTCTCTTAACTGCTAAGCCATCTCTCCAGCCCCAATTTTTACCTATTATACTTTGCATGCACAAATGCACATACATTGTAGGGTCTTCCTGTAGCCCCATCTGTCCTGGAACTCATTGTGTAGACCAGGCTGGCCTTGAACTCACAGAGATCCTCCTGCCTCTGCCTCCTAATGTTGGATTAAAAGCGTGTGCCACCACACCCGGCCTTAGATAGTATTTTTAAATTTATATCTTGTATGCTTGATAGTTGTCCACTTGTTCCTCTTTTTCTTTATAGCATATGAAATGGTATTTTGTAGAGTCTAATATATTTGTTTTTCTGTTTATTTTCCCAGATTTTTTTTAGCTTTTCAAAGTTTAATAGTGGCATTTTACTATGAAAAGGCTTCTAGACACTAAAGTCTCTCACTGGTTTTCTAAGGCAAGACAGTTAAAGAACTTGTAGCTAAGCTGTCTTTTAAGTTTGTTGCTTCATTTACCTTCTTGCTTCTGAATTAGGACGATCTCAAAACTCGAAGTTCAAGTGAAGCAAGTAGAGCATGAAAATATGTTGAGTCTTCATCACAATGCTAATGCTCCTGTGAGGCCTTCCCAAGCCAAGTAAGTTATTTCATTTAATGTCTGAATGGCTACTAGAGGTAGGCTCACACCTTTATTAAAAGAGGTCATCTTGGGGCTGGAGAGATGGCTCAGTAGTTTAACGCACTGGCTGCTCTTGCAGAGGATTCAGGTTTAATTCCAAGCACCCACATGGCAGCTAACAACTGTCCGTAACTCCAGTTCCAGGGGAGTCTGACACTCTCTCTGACCTCCATGGGTATTGCATGACATGGGTGCACTTACATACATGCAGGTACTACACTCACACAGAAAATTGGGGGTAAATATCCCTGTAGATCTTGGATGTGTGTTAAAATAGTAATTACTGGATATTATTGGTATTCTTACAAAGAAGCATTTGCCAGGCTGAAGGAATAGCAGAGTCAAGTTGGGGATAAGGAAATTTGACATGTATTCTGTTTTTGATTCTGCCCATCTGTGTGACCATAAGCAGATCACTTTATTTTTTTTAACTTCCTTTTTTCTTTTAAGTATATGAGATGATTCTATTCCTGCATCTCTTCAAGTGCTTCTTATATTTTCCTACTTGCTAAGATTTGGCTTTCTGGGGCTGAAGAGATGACTCAGTGGTTAAGAGCACTGGCTGTTCTTGCAGAGGACCCCGGGTTCACTTCCCAGCACCCACATGGTGGCTAACAACTGTTCAAACTCTAGTTCCTAGGAACCTGATGCCATCTTCTGATCTCTGTGGGCATTCACATGGCACACTTAACATGCATGCATACATATATACATACATACATACATACATACATACATACATACAAGCAAAACACACATATAAAATAAAAATAAATAAATAAATAAATAAAGATTTGGCTTACCATGCTAGGGTCTTTTTATGGGCTTTGTCCAGTTTTTAACTTGGTGAAAATCCTCTTGCTGGAGTGAATACCATTTAGCCTTTCTCACTGTCCCTGTTCAATGTGGATGACATTCTTTCTTGTGAACTGAGCTACTTTGCCTATCTGCTGACCTTTCTATTGCCCTCACACAACCTGAACTCTGTCATTCTTTCAGATGGGCATGGATTGAACATTGTACTTCTGTCTTAGCTCTTTAGAAAGAGAAACAAAATCTTCCCCTGAATCCACAGGCATTGGGTCCATAAAAGGTGTTGAAATGCCTTTTATGGGTCTTGCTTCAGTCATAAGTCACAAAGGGATTGAACATCATTTTGATGATTGCCTCTCCAGCTGTGGCTGCAAAAGGACTGGGGCTCCATTTTATTATCTGTAAAAACAAGGACACTGGGATAGAGAATATTTTTAAAGTTTTTTTTTCACTAAAATCCTAGACTTTTTATTATTTTGTTAATGCAAAGACGTTTGAGGATGAATCTGTTTTAAACTGTGTTTTTCCTGTTTTAATTTTTCTTTTTTTAGTTAAGAATTAACTTTGCTATAATCTTAGAATATTATCTTTTTGTCATTGTTGTTTGTTTGTTTTTGAGACAGTCGTACTTTGTAGACCTGGTTGGCCCTGTATTCACTTTGTAGCTTATAGTTGTTGGCCACAAGCTTACAGAAATCCAGCTGGGTCTTCTGCAAGAACAACCAGTGTTCTTAACCCCTGAGCCATCTCTCCAGCCCCGAATCTTAATTTTTCTAAGCCACACTTAACTGTATTAGACATTTTTACTCCATAATTAAAACACGATTGCTTTTTAAAAAAATAGTTATTGGTCATTTGTGTTTCCTTTTTTGAAACTGTTTATTCAATTCATTAGCCCTCTTACCCCTACCTTTTTTCTTTTTCTTCTGGTGTTCTAGGTCAGATTTTCATCATGTAGTGTTGATACTTGAGGCTAATTCCTGTGCTGTTGATGTTCTGTTCAGAAAGTTTTTGCTTACCTCAATGTCTTGAAGGGTGTTCCCTATGTTTTTGTCTAGAAGTTTCAGTGTTTCAGGTTTTAAGTTAAGATCTTTGATCCATTTCAAATTGATTTTTGTACAGGTGAAAGATATGAATGAATATCCAGTTTTGCCAGCACCATTTGTTGAATATACCTTTTTTCAATGTATGTTTTTACCTCCTATGTCAAGGGCGTAGCTTTGTCAGTTTATTTTCAGGCTCTCTGTTTTGTTCTGTTGGTCTACCTGTCTGTTTTTTATGCCAGCACCATACTGTCTTTATCACATGCTTAAAGATTATTTGAAGTATGTTTAAAATAATCATTATTTTGAAATGTGAAATTCCAGGAAATTCTTGGGAATACTGATTTATTGACCCTGGACCTCAAAGAATAACATTCCAGGACTTTGAAAACAGAAATTTACTATTTTCACTGTGTGCTATAATTCTAAAATACATTGTTTTGAAAAAATTAAACAAGCTGGGTGTGGTGGTGCACGCCTGTAGTCCCAGCACTTGGGAGGCAGAGGCAGGTGGATCTCTGTGAGTTCAAATGCCTGCCTGGTCTACATAGGTAGTTCCAGGCCAGCTGGGGCTGCAAGGAGACTCTGTCTCAAAAAAAAAAAAAAACCATAAAAAAAGAAAAAATTAAACAAACAATACCCTTTCAAAGGGCCTGGAGAGATGGCTCAGTGGTTAAGAGCACTGGCCACTCTTGCAGAGGACCTGGGTTCTGTTCCCCACATCACTGGCAGCTTACAATTCTCTGTTAACTCCAGTTTTGGGAATATGAGTCCTCTTCTGGCCTCCACAGGAACTGCATGCATATGATGCATTTACATGGCAGCCAAAACACTTATACACATAAAAATAAATAATCCATTTTTTTTTCTTGGTCTTTTTGAGACAGAGTCTCCCTGTAGCCCAGCTGTCCTAGAACTCACAGATCCACCTGCCTCTGCTGAGACTAAAGGCGTGCACCACCACACCTGGCTCAGAGGACAACTTTGTGAACACATTCAGTTCTCTTTTTCTACCTTTACATGAATTCCAGAGACAAAGCTCAGGTCACCCTGTTTCGATGTTGGGTAGAGGAATTGGCAAAGGAACCTGTGAGAGTGTTACTATGAAACTAAGAGAGAAACTGAGCAAATCAGGGTTATTGAGTGCTGTTAAGGGATCAGGTACGAGGAGGACTGAAAAGGGCTGTTAAAGTTACAAGCTGGAGGCTGCCGCCATAGAGAATGGTGTGATAGTAAGAGAAGTAGATGCCTGTTTGAAGGGTTCTGAAGAGTGACTAGAAACAATCTACCTGTCTAGCAGCTGGGAATCCATGTGCTGTGATGTACTTATTCAGGGCCTAACACAGGGTGGCAGAGTGTGAAATAGGGCAGGCTTGGCAGGCTGCAGTCTTCAGTCCAAAGCCAGCCTGCACCATCAGTTTTTGTAACATGTATGACTGAGGAATGGTTGCTACCTTTTAAAATGTTTGGGGAAGACTGAGGTGTGTGGTTCAGTCAGTAAAGCACTTGTCTTGCAAGTGTGAGGGTATGAATTCCATCCCCTGAAGCTACATAAAATGCCAGGTGTGAGCTGGGTATAGTGGGGCACGCCTTTAGTCCCAGCACTTGGGAGGCAGAGGCAGGTGGATCTTTGTGAGTTCAGCCTGGTCTACATAGTGAGTTCCAGGACAGCTGGTGCTATAGGGACACCCTGTCTCAAAAAAGAGACAAAAAAAAAAAAAAAAAAAAAAAAAAAAAAAAAAAAGAAAGAAAAAGAAATGCCAGGTGTGGTGGTACATGCTTGTAACCCCAGCACTGGGAAACTGCAGACAGGAGGATCCCTGGGGCTCACTGGCCAGTCAGTCTAGCCTAAATGGTGAACTCCAGGCCACTGAAAGACCCTTTCATAAGGAGGTAAATGGACTTCCTGAGGATGACACTTGAGGTTATTCTTTGGCATCCATGTGAATGCATACACATGAACAGTGACACACATATTCACACATATACATAAAAAAATTGCAGGACTAGAGAGATGGCTCAGCCATCATATAGCAGTCTACTCTTGCAGAGGACCTAATTTCAGTTCATAACACCCATGTCAGGCGGTTCACCACCTTTAACTCTAGTTCTAGGGGATCTGACACCCTCTTCTGACCTCCAAGGGCAGTTGCACTTGTGTACATATCCCTACATAAACATCCACACATATACATAATTGCTGTAGGGAGCATTGACTCAGTGATTAAGAGCACTGGCTGTTCTTGCCAACACCCACATGGTGGCTAACAACTGTCTCTAACTCCAGTTCCAAGGGATCCAATGCCGTCTTCTGGCCTCTGCAGGCATTGAATGACACAAGTATACTTGCATACATTCAGGCAAAACACTCATACACATAAAATAAAAATAAATGTAAGCTGGATATGGTGGCACATGCCTTTAATCCCAGCACTTGGGAGGCAGAGGCAGGCGGATCTCTGTGAGTTCAAGGCCAGCCTGGGCTACATAGTAAGTTCCAGGCCAGGTGGGGCTACAGGGAGACCCTGTCTCAAAAAGAAAAAAAAAAATCTAAAAAATTATATCTATCTATATGTATGTATAGTGTGTGTGTGTGTGTGTGTGTGTGTGTGTGTATACTGGTGTGTGAGTGTGAATCTACATAGTGAGTTCAGGTCAGCTGGGGCTACAGGGAGACCCTGTCTCAAAAAGACAAAAAAATAAAAATAAAAATTTGGAACAGAAGCGAGTTTATTAATTTACATATTGTTTGGATGCTCTTACATGACAATAACAAAATTGAGTAGTTGGCAGTAGAGACTGTCTGACTAAATTATTCTTTTGCCCTTTATAGAAAAAAACATTGTTGAGCGTGGTGGCACACACCTTTAATTCCAGGCAAAGGCAGGAAAATCTCTGTGAGTTTGAGGCCAACATGGTTTACATAGAGAGTTCCAAGCCAGCTAGGGCTACATAGTGAGACCCTGTTTTCCTCTATACCCTCAAAAAAAGAAAAAATATTGCTAACCCCTCGTTTAGATGGTCACCATGGATTAATTTTGAGAATATGATAGATAACAAGAACTAAGTGAGGAAGAAATAGAATACCTTCTTTTCAAAGTGCTGGTGATTGGGGCTGGAGAGATAGCTCAGCAGGTAAAGACCCTTCCTGTCAAGCCTGACAACCCCAGTTTGATCCTGGACTCACGTGGTGGAAGGAGAGAACCAACTCCTGCAGGTTGTCTTCTACAAGCACTCTGTGACATATGTGCACCTTCCACCAAGATAAATAAAGTAACAAAGTAATAAATTATTTATTATTTTTAATTTTTGTGTGTGTAAATATATTATCTGAATGTGTATAAGTGCACCCATGATGTGCAGTGCCAGTGGAGATCAGAAGAGGACTTCAAATTCCCCTGGAACTGGAGTTATGGATGGTTTGGGGTGGTGGGAATCCAACCTGGGTCCTCTGCAAAAGCAGCCAGTGCTCTTACCTGCTGAACCATCTCTCCAGCCCCAGTAATGAAGTAATTTTTTAAAAGAAAATTCACAAACATAAATTTATTTGGCAAATAGAGTTAGAGTCCTTACATGTCAGTGATCACTCCACAGTATAAAATCATATGAATTCTCTTAAATCTATATTAAGTCATGCTGACATTCTTTCCAGGTAAGTCATAACCATTTCTATTATAAATAATGTAATTTTAAAATACTTTATGTATATGAATGTACTACCTGCATGTATGTAAGTGTACCCATGTTGTATAATGCCTGAGGAGGTCAGAAGAGGGGTCAGATCCCCTGGAACTGGAGTTACAGGTGGTTATTAGCCACCAGATGGGTGCTGGGACTTGAACCGGGGCTTCTGCAAGAGCAGGCAGTGCTCTTAACCGCTGAGCTAGCTCTGTAGCCCATAATGTAATTTTAAAAACTAACTTAAATTTTTTAAAAAAGTGCTAGTGATGAGATCCAGAGTCTGGAAATGCTGGATAAGTGGTGTACAACTGAACTACATCTTCCTGAGCCCCAGATAGGAAACTGTTTCTATCAACTTCAGCATGTACAATAGTTCTATATATCTTTTGAAAGTTTAAAATCCTATGGGGGAATGCTGAGTATAAATTGAGTATACTTTGAACTTTTGATAGGGAACTATAATATTAAAGAGGCTCACTGATGCTATAGTTGTATTTGTAGTGAAAATGTAAAGGGTATGTAATGAAGAATGAAGATCTATAGTGCTGGATGGTCAGTGCATTGAGTACTGCCTGTGTGTATGGGCATGTTTGAATATTTTTTGTATTTAGTGTGTATGTGTGTACATGTGTGCATGTGCATGTGTGTTCATGGGCACGTTTGCCACAGTGCATGTGTGGAGGCCAGAGGACAACTTTAGGGAGTCTCATCTTCCCATCCACCATGTGGGTCCTAGGGATCATGCTCAGGTCTCAGGCTTGGTAGTAAGCACTTTTACCCACTGAGCTGTCTTATCAGCTCCTAATTTATGTTTTTCAAGAGAACAGGGAAAAACAGGATGAGAAACTTGGAATGCTAAAGAACTTTTCACAACTCAATAAAAAAAAGACATTTTTCTTCACAGAAAAATGGTAAAGGGATATGAAGCTTCACCAAAAAAAAACTTTAAATGGCTATGAAAAGATGCTCATTCTCCTAAATAATCAGGAAAGTGCTAATTAAAACAGTAGATACCGTTTCTACATGCAATCAGATAGGCAAAACAATTTCCAAAGTCTGGCAAAGAAATGAAGAAAGGATCTTATACCAATGACTGACTGGAAATGGACACAACTTGTCTAGAGAGTGATTTGATAGTTGCCAGAAAGACTGAAGGTGATAAGTACACCCAGAAGGTAACAGTTCTTTTTAAGATATTTACCTGGGTTAATTCTTACACATGTTAATTTTACCATTGTTGAAACAGCATCCACCACCATCACTATGGGTAAATGACTGACAGCTCTGCATGTGAGCGTGAATAAATCATGACCATAATGTTGAATAAAAAAGAAGGGTGTGTATTATGCCCTTATTTAACAAATACAACTATACATATGCATATAATTTTATGTCTTACAATTAAAACAAATATACCCAAGATCTTAGCATCTGTTAAAAACTGAGAGTAGATAGGTGGGTGCTTGTTGTAGTATTCGTCATAAATTTCTAAGAATGTTTGAAATATTTAAAGATTGAGGAAAAGGGAGCTGGAACATTGTTCAGTGGCAGAGTGCCTGTTTAGCAATGCATAAAACCCTGGATTCAGTTCCCAGCACATAAAAAAAAATTTTTTTTTGGTCTTTTTGAAACAGGGTCTCTCTGTAGCCCCAGCTGTCCTGGAACTCGCTGTGTAGACCAGGCTGGCCTTGAACTCACAGAGATCCGCCTGCCTCTGCCTCCCGAGTGATGGGTTATCCAGTGGGCCACCACACCTGGCCACCACACTCAGCTTTTTAAATTTTTTAAGAAAATGAGTGACTGGAAGTTCAAGTGAAAATGTAGAAAGAAATCTTCACAGTTTGACAGTGAAAGGAGCAGAGAGGGAGACAGGAGCTCTTCTCTTAGGGTTTTGCTTTCTCTGGAATTGGACCTGAGATTCCCTGACTGAAGGCTAGGATAAGGGATTGAAAGTGGAGAAGGTGCAAGTCAATTATTTACACAGTGGAGCTTACTGATTGTAGGAAGGTGGTGCTGTCAAGATGGGGTTGATGAGTGTGCAATTGGATGACTTGTCAAGCAAAGCTCAGCTGTGGGAGTGTGGGCAGGAAGTAGGGTCATTGTAACCAACCAGGCTTGGGGTTTTGCTGCAAGTCAGATGTGGTAGGAGGCAAGAGGGGAAGGAGTCAGGATCATGAGTGGTTATGGTGGCAACTGTGTGCTGCAGAACTAGCAAAGCTGGGACTAGTTGGTGAACAGAAAGGGACCAAGCGCTTGCCAGCTATTGGCTGGGGTGGAGCTAGGCCAAGAGGCTGGTGGTGTCCTTAGGGGCTGTGATCTCTGGTGATGACAAGAGTCTAGCTGCATCCCAGAGGTGGGTAACTGAGGAGAGATTCAAGTCACTGGATATAGAGGACAAGGATGGCTTCTGAAGTTGCCTCATGTGATGGCAACAGCAGGCATAAAATGAGATACATTCAAAGTCTAGTGAAGGGCAGAGGTTGATGTGATGGTGTGAACCTCAGATTAGCAGGGTTTTTATTACTGTCTTACATTTATTTATTTTTATTTTCTTTTTGAGACAGGGTCTCCCTGTAGCCTTAGCTGGCCTGGAACTCACTATGTAGACCAGGCTGGCCTTGAATTCACAGAGATCCATTTTCCTCTGCCTCCCCAGTAGTAGGATTAAAGGCGTGTGCCACCACACCCAGCTTGACCTCTTACATTATTTTGTGTGTGTTGTATGGGTGCAAACATACACATGCATGCACATATATGCCACAGTGTGAGTAAGGAGGTCAGAGGACAACTCGGAGGAATCAGTTCTCCCCTTCCACCATGTGGGTCCCCAAGTATCGGGTTTAGTAGCAAGTACCTTTACCTGTTGAACCATCTCAATGGCCATACAGAGTTTTTAGTCAAATATTGATGAAATGATAGTCTAGAACTGTGCTGCCTGCTACAGTTGTGCTGATAGCCACAGGTAACTGTAGAAATTGATTAAAATTGACAATTTTGAATGGGGTTTGAGTCTCTTTAGCCACTTCTCAGGTGTTTGGTAGTAGCATGTGATTTGTGACTGCTGTACTGGATAGTGCACAGTGTTTCTAGAAAATAAGGCAGCCTGCTTCATCTTACCCTGAGCTAGTGTGAAGAGAAGGGGACGGAGTATGCTAGGATATAGCTAGGAGACTGTGGAGAGCTGTGAATATTCAAAAGTTTAGTTGAATCTTAAACCCTTAAAATAGAATTTATTTATATAAAGAACAGATTGTTATATGTGGTTTTAAGTTACTGTGCAAATAAGTAAATACTATCTGGAAGCAGGTTGTTCTGACATAAAATGCAGTCTAAACTGAAGTGCAGATCTTATGATTCCTCAGGACATCTTGTCTTATCCCTTCAGTACACTAGCAACCTCAGATGTGAGCTGGCGGAAGTGGCTGATACCAGGCGCAGAGTATTCCATCTTTACTGGACAGCCTCTGGACATCAGGGATAGGACGATGGATAAGCAGCTGGAGGAAACCTGTGTTCGTGGGTAAGATAACTGAGGAGGGCCCATTGTGGAATGTTGTTTTCTTAAACATTGAGTTGTCCCTGTAGAGGGAATTCTTGAAAAGTTTGGCCGTGAAAGGGAACAAAGAAGAAGACAGCAGTTCTTGTCTTGGGGTTTCTGCTTCTTGTTGTTTTTGGACCTGAGGTTCTTCTTTGGTTTCAAAGGCTGGGGTGAGGGGCTGGAGGACAGTTCAGAGGGTATATTACAGAAGCAATCTTGCCAGTTGTAGAAAGGAGGTGTCCACATCCACTCAAAATGGTGTTAATGAGGGGCTGGAGAGACGGCTCAGTGGTTAAGAACACTGTTCTTGCAGAAGACCCAGGTTCAAATCCCAGCACCCACATGGCAGCTAACAACTGTCTATAACTCCAGTTCTAGGGGATCTGACAGCCTCTTCTGGCCTCTGCAGGCATCGCATGACACGGGTGCATTTACCTACATGCAGGCAATACATGCACACACATAAAATAAAAATAATAAATAAAATATTTTTTAAAAAATGGTGTTAATGAGTGGACATAGGTGATTTTTTTCAGCCAAGTTCAGCTGTGGGGATGTGGACAGGATAACCTTGATCTTAACTCTAGATCCATTTTCCACCTCCCAAGTGCTGGGAATATAAGCATGCACCACCATGTCTAGCTCTTTAGCTCTTTAATACCTTAATTTTTAATTTTTATTTAATTTTTTGGTCTTTTTAAGACAAGGTCTCCCTGTAGCCCTAGCTGACCTATAACTCACTATATAGACCAGACTGGCCTCGAACTCACAGAGATCTGCCTGCCTCTGCCTCCTGAATGCTGGGACTAAAGGTATATGCCACCACACTCAGCCTAATACCTTAATTTTTAAGATGCTTTTCTTTTTTGCTTTTTTTGTCTTTCTGAGACAGGGTCTACTTGTAGCCCCAGCTGTCCTAGAACTCACTATGTATACCAGTCTGGCCTCAAACTCAAAGATCCACCTGCCTCTGCCTCCTAAGTGCTGGGATTAAAGGCATGCGTCACCACGCCCGGCTATTTTTTCTTTTTTCACTTGCACAGAAAGTAATTTTTTTTTTGGTCTTTTTGAGACAGGGTTTCCCTGTAGCCCCAGCTGGCCTGGAACTCACTATGTAGACCAGACTGGCCTTGAACTCACAGAGATCCGCCTGCCTCTGCCTCCCGAGCACTGGGACTAAAGGTATGTGCCACCATGCCTGGCATTTATTTTTATTTATTTATTTTTTTAAAATTTTATGTGTATGAATGTGTTGCCTGCATGTATATAAGTGCACCCATGTTGTACAATGCCTGTAGAGGTCAGAAGAGGGCACTAGACTCCCTGGACCTGGAGTTACACACTGTTAGTTGCCATGTGGATGCTGGGAACTGGACCTGGGTCCTCTGCAAGTATATTCAATGCTCTTAACCCCTGAACCATCTCTCCAGCCCCCAGAAAGCATTCTTATCCCCTAAGCCATCTCCTCAGCCATGAGAGGCTAATGCTTTTAGGATATTTTACTTCAATAGGCTCTGCAGTGCTTCCCCACCTATGCTCAGGGGCACAGTACAGGCTTACACTTAGGATAATCATATAATTCTCTCTTTGACTAACCTGAGCCCTCATGAGCAGGCTCAGCCATGTACTCTGGGTACTATACAAATGGAATATTTCTGTGATGCTAGGATGTTAGGATTAGGAAGCACAAGCTTAACACATGCAGGTTCAGTTTTAGTATTTGTTTTTTGTTTTGTTTTGTGGGTTTTTTTTGTTTGTTTGTTTTTTTTGGTCTTTTTGAGACAGGATCTCTCTGTAGCCCCAGCTGGCCTGGAACTCACTGT